TTCATTTCAGATACCCATTATTGGATTAGGTCTTTAAATTTAGGGGGTCTGATTTTTCTGAGTACTTTATATATTTTAGAGATTAGTCCTTTGTCTGAGGAACAGCTGGCAAAAATTATTTTCCCACTCTGTGGGTTATCTCTTCATTCTGGTCCTGGTTTCTTTTGTTGTGAAAAGCTTTTTAATAAAATGAGATCCCAGTTGTTGATTATTTGTGATATTGCCTGTGTGATCAGGGTTTTGTTCTTAAATTCTTTGTCTACACCAATGTGTTCAAGAGTTCTACCTATTCTACCTTCCAGCAGATTTAGTATTTCTATTTTAATATTTAGATCTTTGATCCATTTCAATTTTAGTTTAGTGCATGGTGAGAGATACGAGTGTAGTTTTAATCTTTGGCAAGTGGAAAGCCAGTTTTTCCAGCACCATTTATTAAAGAGGCTATATTTCTTCCTATGACAACATTTGATGACATTTCCAAAAATAAGATGGCTAAGTGTGTTTGGAATTGATTCTGCAACTTTATTCTATTCCACTGATTGGTGGGTCTTTCAAAGAACCAACTCTTCAATTCACTGATTCTTCATATTGTTTTTTTAGTCTCAATTGCATTAATTTCTGCTCTGATATTTATATTAACCTCCCTTATGTGAGTCTGGGGCCTGTCTTGTTCTATACTCTAGATGCTTGAGGTTAAATATTAGCTTGTTACTTTGAGCTGTGTTTTTCTGATGTGGGAATTCAGAGCTATAAATTTCCCTTATAGGCCTTCTTTCATTTGGTTCCATAAATTCTGCTATGTTGTAGTGCTATTGTTTTCAAATTGTAAAACTGTCTAATAATTTCTTTAATTTCACCTGTGACCCATTGGTCCTTTGGGAGGGTGTTATTTAATTTCCATGTGTTTATGCAGTTTTTATAGTTAATTTGCCACTGATTTCCATTTTCATTGCACTATGGTCTGATAATATGCATGGGATAATTTCAATTCCTTTGCATTTATTTAAGCATATTTTATGAGCTAGTATGTGGTCTATTTTGGAGAACATCTTGTGCACAGCTTAGAATAATGTGTATTCTGATGTTGAGGAATGGAACATTCTGTAGACATCTGCTGAGTCCATTTGTTTAAAGATTTGGTTCAGTTCCAATTTTTTAATTCATTTTTTGTTTAGTTGATCTGTCTATTTGTGACAGTGGGATATTGAGGTCCCACATTTAAATTTTATTAATGCTTATTTGATTTCTCATATCTGTTAATATTTGTTTATATAGTTGGGTGAGCTGGTATTTGGTGCATATATTTTTATGATTGTTATTTCTTCTTCTTGGATTGTTCCCTTCTTAAGTATGTTGTGACCTTTGTCTCTCTTGGTCAGTCTTGGTTTGAAATTCACTTTGTCCGCAAATAGAATAGCTACCAGTGCTTTTGTTATGGTTCCTGTCACATGGTGCCTTAGTTGTCTTTCTTGCTGCTGAGACAAGATACTCAACATCCAAAGATGAAAGATGGAAAGTTTATTTTGGCCCTTGGTTTCTAGAGGTTTCAGTCCCTAATCAGCTGGCTGAAAAGCAGCATGATATGGCAGATAGGCATAGCAGTGGAGAAACAGTTCATGGCAGGCAAAAGGCAGAAAAGCAAGTAAGACACAAGTAAATGTGATGAGAACCCAATAGCCTTCTTTCTGTCCCTTATATTTTAACCACCCAAGGTAGGGAACCCTTAATCCTACCCAGAAATGTGCCAAATTTGTCAGTGGAATGATTTAGCAATAACACACCCTTAATCCCAGCATCATACATTGTAGATCCTGTCACTTCTTAGAAATTCCCATCAATGACCACATGAAGCTTTGGGAGAACATCTAGACACAAGCCATAACACATGGATTATTGTCTTCTATCCTTTGACTTTCAGTTCATGAATTTCTTTTTGATCTGAATTTGTTTCTTGGATGAAACATATTGTTCATCTTATTTCTTGATCCATTCTTCCATTCTGTTTCTTTTGGTGAATTGAGATTATTTACATTGATGGTTATAACTGATATGTATTGACTTTTCCTTCTTATATAATTATCCTGTTATTGATTCTCTTTTTGCCCTTTGTTTATTTGCTTGTCTTGCTTGGTGAATTCATTCTATTGGGGTCCATGGAATTATTATCTCTTTCTAGAGTATCCTTTAGAACATTTTGGAGTGCTGGTTTGGAGGTCATGAATCTCTTCAGGTATTCTTTGTCATGGAAGTATCTTATTTCTCCATTAATTTTGAAAGATGATTTTGTGAGGTACATCAATCTGGGTTGGAGATTCTTTACTTTTAAGGCTTGAAATATTTTACTCTAAACTGTCCTTGACTTAACAGTTTGTGTTGAGAAGTCAGTTGTG